GCATAATAAGTTAATTTCTTGTATGGGAAACGTTTGTCACGACTTCTGGTCTGTGTTGGATGGATAAACAAACTGCGGGACTTCCATCCAATGGAATACCACTCAGCACAGAGAAAAATGGACTGTGGAGACAGAGGACAGCACGGATGAACTGCAAAAGAGTGATGCTGATGGGAAGAAGTTAGGCAAAACAGTGCAAACTGTATGAAAATGCAAAACATTCACAGAGACGAAAAGCAGATCAGTGGTTGCCTGGGGAGAAGGGAAGGAGTAGGAGGGAAAGATCACAGGCAGGTGGAGAATGTGTCTGAAGTCTCCCCAGCGGAACGTGAGTGAGAGTGATGTATAGTCATTTCTGGGTATTGCTCATGAAAGCATCCCACGCACCCCTCGCGCTCTCTTCTTTCCTAACCTGTCATTGGATGGGAGAACCCAGATGAGGACAGAGCCACAAGAGAGAGGGGGACCAGATCCCTGGACGACTGCATGGAGCAAGTCCCCTTTGTCCGGCATCAGGTTGTGACATGAACAAGAACTAAACGATTAAGGTATTAAACCCCTGAAGTGTTAGGGTCGTTTGTTACAGCACTTAGCCCACCCTGACTAATACAGAGTCCAGCGTCAGCCCGCTGCCAGAAGAGAGCTGCCTGGCTGCCTCAAAGTCAGGTTCCCCCTCGGGCTCAGGCGTGTTCCCTGAGGCTCAAAAACTGAGCTGAGCCCTGGGAGTCGGCCAGCTGTGGGAAGGGGCAGTCCGTAAGCCCGGGCTGGTTTTCTCATAAACCCATCGAGCAAGTTCTGCGATGGCTAGGGAAGGAGACTGCCTGCTAGCCACAGAAGGATCCACACTGCCCACGGGCTTGTAAGACATTCTTCTGCATCGAGACCCTTTGGGTGAGTCTTCGTCTTGGACACAAATAATCTTATGCTCTGAAGCCATTCTGGGCAGTCTATCTACATTTATTTTCCTCAAAACTTTCTGTCACTAAACCTTCAGACTGTTTCCTTCCAAGCCCCTGACCAACAGATGACACCATGAGCAAACGCCCAGGAATCAGAGTGTCATTCCTTCAGGGCCTCTGGGCACGCTCCCCGTTTCTAGGTCCCTCAGGCCTTCTTGGAGGAAGACTGGAAGACTCCAGCAATCTGCTTCTCACTGGAGCTAGCAGCGTCTCTACAGGGCTTTAGATTTTTCCTCCTCAGTCAACTCACCATAAACAACTCTCCCCAAGACCATGACCATCAGTAGCAGGAGAGGAATGTAAACAACCTGCTCAGGCAGCCTACCTGTGCCTTCCAGGCTCGCTGGACCAGGCCATCTGCGTCACTTCCTCTTCGTGATGGAGTGCTGCTGGCCACCCCTAATTCTGGGGCTGGGGAGATGAGATAACGCAGTAGCTCAAGTTACGGCCACCTGCTACGCCACGGTCGGGCATCCAATTTCACCAGACCCCTGGAGCAAGCCAGGAGCTGTTTCTCAGAAGGAAAATTAACAGTTTGCTGAGAGAGGTCATAACTTTGCTCCAAAATCCAATATCTGAGTAGCAAAGCCAAAGGCAGAACTACCCACTCGGCAGCCTGATCCAGGAAGAAATCCTTCTCCTCGTGTGGTTCCCCTCAAAGTTTTCAAGTGACCCAGCAGTAGGTAAAAATAATGTACCTGAATACAGTATACTTTATACCCAAGTCTGAGGAAGCCCAGCAAGCACGCAGCCCTTTCTTTTTTTTATTAACTTTTTTTTATTGAGTTGTAGTCATTTTACAATGTTGTGTCAAATTCCAGTGTAGAGCACAATTTTTCAGTTATGCATGAACATACATATCTTCATTGTCACATTTTTTTTCGCTGTGAGCTACCACAAGATCTTGTATATATTTCCCTGTGCTATAGAGTATAATCTTGTTTATCTATTCTACATATGCCTGTCAGTATCTACAAATTTCAAACTCCCAATCTGTCCCTTCCCACCCCACTCCCCCCTGGCAGCCACAAGTTTGTATTCTATGTCTATGAGTCTGTTTCTGTTTTGTATTTATGTTCTTTCTTTTTCTTTAGAGTCCACATATGAGCGATTTCATATGGTATTTTTCTTTCTCTTTCTGGCTTACTTCACTTAGAATGACATTCTCCAAGGACATCCATGTTGCTGCAGATGGTGTTATGTTGTCATTTTTATGGCTAAATAGAATTCCATTGTATAAATATACCACATCTTCTTTATCCAGTCATCTGTTGATGGACATTTAGGTTGCTTCCATGTCTTGGCTATTGCAAATAGTGCTGCTATGAACATTGGGGTGCAGGTGTCTTTTTGAAGTAGGGTTATGTGCCCAGGAGTGGGATGACTGGGTCATATGTTAAGTCTATTCCTAGTCTTTTGAGGAATCTCCAGACTGTTTTCCACAGTGGCCTGCAGCCCTTTCTCAGTGGCCGGGACTGCAATGTCCAGCAGCTTGTCCTTTACTTGGTGTGGAATATCTCTACACACCCCAGACCCCTAGATAGTTCACTAAGTAGACAGGCCCCTATGTATTTGTGGGATTTATTATCTGCCCTCTGGCACACACATCGTGCTTACCAAATCATCTAGAGTATCTGCTACTTCCTGTTCTCAAGGTCCATCTGGATATTGTCATCAGTGTCACAGCAGATTAGCCTGATGTCCACTGGAATGCTGATTTGGTCAAAAATTCTGTAAACTGAGTGTGTCTCGAGAGTGACATACCCCTGAAGCAAGACAGTAAAGGTTTACTGTACCCCTGCTAGAGAAACACAAACTGTTCCCGAAGTTTGGTGTAGAAGAAAGAGCACCGACCAGACCTATAATTGTGGGCCAACAATTGCACCTATCTGCTCCAAGAACGACCACTCTGAAAAAGTACCTGCAGGTGGGTTCCCTAGCATAGTGAGTTTATCATAATGCTTTGTCATTCTTTTTTTTTTTTTTGCTCCATCATTCTTTAAGGCCTTCTGTCTTTTCCGTTAATGTATGAATGGAAAAAAAGAAGTGTGATATATATACCTAGATAGACAGATAACTGAATATATTATGCACATATATAAAGAAATACATGAATATATATAAAATATATATGGGAATATATATAAAGTACATATATAAAACATAAATATTAAAGAATATTATTCAGCCTTAAAAAAGAAAGAAGTCCCGGGGGAGGGTACAGTTCAGTGGTAGAGTACATGTCTAGCATGCACAAGGTCCTAGGTTCAATCCCCACTTCCTCCATCAATAAAATAAATAAGTAAACCTAATTATCTCCCCCCTAAATAAATAAATACATAAATAAATAAATAAAAGAAATCCTGCCAGATGAAACTGGAGGACATTTTAAGTGAAACAAACCAGTCACAAAAAGACAAATATTGCAAGATCTCACTTTTATGTGGACTATTCCTTTTAAAAAAGCTGAACTCATAGAAACAGAGAGTAGAATAGTGGTTATCAGAGGCTGGTACAGGGAAAAAGAGGAGCTTTTTTTTTTAAGTAGAATGGTGATTGCCAGGGGCTGGAAGGACAGGAGAATGGGGAGTTATTTAACGAGTACAGAGTGTCAGTTTTGCAAGAAGAAAAGAGTTCTGAAGATGGATGGTGGTGATGGTTGCTCAACAATATGAATGTACTTAATACCACTGAACCGTACACTTAGAAATTGTTAAGACAGTAAGTTTCCTGTTATGCATATTTTACCACAATAAAAATAAATAAATGGGGAAAAATATAATCTATCTTCTATTCTGGCCAAACTGAAGAGGTAATGTTGATATAGTGGGCATTACCCTGAATCACCACCCAAATCTTTGATGATGATTCCTGTGATAAGATGAAGTATTATTTTTTCATTTACCTTGTTGGCAGTTAGGGAGAGCTTCAGGGCCTTCCATTTAGCCCTTCCTCTCAAAACAACCCTTGATCCCTGAGTTAGGCCAATGTCAGAATTCTGCCCCTGTGGATGGATCGACAGCACCTCTACACATAACCTCCATATGGTTTCAGGGTACCACTGGCCCTGGCATGAGACAGACTACACTCAAAACTATTTTTAAAAATTTATACTATGTGCATGTCTTATATATTCAAAAAAAGAAGGGAAAGAAAAATATCCCATTTTTAACAATTACATGCATAATCATTACACTTTTTAAAGTTCCTTTGTGTACCACTCAAAATCTCGCGTACATACCACCTCCTGAGAAACACTGACCTGGTACGTGCCTAAGTCATCTCATCTTTATCACACTTGTAATTGCGTATTTAAGTGTCCACTTTCCCCACCAGACTGAGGGAGGAGCCAGGTCTGAGTTTTGCTGTCACAAGCACCAAACGCTGGACTCCCCGTGGACCGTACTTTGAAAATAAAGACCTAGACAGCCCCTCCGTCCCTTTCAGCTCAGTCTGTCCAAAAGCCCATGAGTTCTGGCTGGATGATGTTGAGCAACCATTTCGCCTTTTGTAGCCTCAGTCTTCTCCGCTGCAAAATGGGAACTATGGTGCCTGCCACGCCGTGTGGGTGCGAGGAGTCAGGTAATGATTGTGAAAGTAGCGTAGCACCATAGAAATTACTAATTAATTCACTCATCCACATAACAGCCCGTTATTAAGCGCCCAGCGCCGTGCAGCACGGTTGCCACCGCGTACACCCTCTCCTGGCGCATGTCTCACCCCTTCGATCCCAGGATGGGGAGGGCGTTTCCTCACCACGTTCACTCTCCCACGGAACTCCGGGTGGTGACCTTACTCAAAATGGCGCAGGCAGCCTCGGGGGCTAGTGCGGCGGCGCGGACTCCGCGTGCCCTCTGACCTGCTGGCAGCGGTGGAGGGAGAGCCGGGCGCCGCCATATTGGCTGTTGTCCTGTGAGGGGAGCGGCGGCGGCGGCGGCGGCGCGAGTGGAGCGAGGGAGCGGCGCGAGCGGCAGCATGACTCGGAGGCGGAGCAGGCCGAGCGGCGGCGCGGGCCGGCGCGAGCGGGCGCGGGTTGCGGGGCCGCAGAAGCCCCTGGCGCCGGAGCCCCCGCCGCCGCCGAGCCTGGAAGCGGGAGCGGGTGCAGGGCCCCCAGAGGCGCTGGCGGAGCCTGACCGCGCCGGCCCCAGGGAGGAGGACGAGCCCAAGCTGGCACCCGGCCCCAGGTAGGAGCGAGCGAGGCGAGTCCGGCTGCTCGGGGGCTTTCACCTCCCCGGAGCGCGGCCGGGACGCGTTTGGGGATGGACCGTCCTCCCCCTGCTGGGGCCAGAGCCGTATCCCCCCCAGGGCCAGGGCTGAGCCTTTCTCCCCCAAGGCGTGAGGGGAGTCTGGACCCTTCTGTCCCAACCCGAGGCACGGCTCATCCTGTCCCCCTGAGACCAGGCTACCTGCTTTCTCCCACCGCCTCCGGGAAACGTTCTGGTCGCAAGCCCACACTGGGACCTCGCTCCGATCTTGAGGCCACAGCCCAGCTCTGTGCCCTTCACCTCCTCTGGGCCCACCTGCTCCCCCACCCACTCACGGGCCACCTCGGGGCCTTGGGGCCTGGAAGGCTGCAGCCTCTTCGGTCTCCCCCCTGGGAGCGGCTCCACCCCTTCCCCTCGCTGCCCCTTTAGCAGCTGTGCCCCTAGCATATGTCTCCCGGGGCCTCCCTCCTCTCCTTGCCCAGCAGAGCAGTTGCAGGAGACAGCCAGGCTGCCCAGAAGACTTTAGTGGGGCTGCTGCACTGAGGTGGAAACCCAGTGAAGCCTGCTCTTTCTCCCCTCTATATCCCCGATCCACAAGGCAGCCCACCCAGACCCTCAGATCCCTGGGTTTGGCGAATCCTGCAGAGAGTGAGCAGTAGGAGGACTCTCCAAAGCTTCCAGCTTGCCACCTGGAAGAAGGTCACTTTCTTTTAAGCAGAGGAGATAATAGGAGGTACCCTGCCAGTGTTCACTGCCAAGCCTGGGTGGCATGAGCCACAGTTGCTCTGGGAGGGTTGTGCACCTGGGGCTGGGTGGCTCGCCCTAAGCTTGCTCTGACGAAAGAGTTTTGAGTTGGTTTTTTGGCTGAGCCTGCCAAAGAAGGCAGGCTCCTGCAGGAGTCTTGGAGGGTCGGATGCAGCGCCGGATGAGGATGAGGCGTGGCGGAAGATGCGTTTGGCTCTGCAGACACTGCATCGGGCAGCAGGGGACTCTGGGAGGCTGGTGCAGCCAGAAGGCATGGCTCTTGACAGCCTTCTAGTAGAATCTCTGGAATTGTGCATGTGAGTGGGGATGCTGTTTGGGGTTCCATTCCCAGAAAGCCTTCCCTGACGTCCCCAGTTGTGTGAGGTGCCCCCTCTGTGCCCATAGTCCCCTGTGCTCCCCTCCGGTACCACTCCCCGTTCAGCGATGAGACATTCTGTTGATGTGTCTGTTCCCTGCACTGAACTGGGAACTCCACAGGGGCACACACTATGCCATCTCTCTCTGGTCCTCCAAGCCTAGCCCTGGGCCTTGCTGACACAGAGTAGGAATAACTAGGTGAATGAGAGAATGAATTCGTTGAGAACCTGTGCTTATTGTAACCCAGTTTGGATACTGATCTCCTTTGTGTCTCAGAGCACAAGATTTTTAATTAATAAAGATGTCACCACTTACTGAGTGTCAGAGCCCCACCTTCACCCCTACCTCCTACCCTAGGCTGAATCTGGCTCCGGAGGGTTTGACTCCTCAGGCTGGACTCCTCCCTTGCTTGGTCTGACTTCCAACTCAAAAGCTCCTTCCCCCTCTAGCCTTCTCTTTTCCTGCTCTGGGCCCCACTGGAAGTGCTGTTCTTCAAAGGGAAGAGTGGGGGAAGGAAGAGCCGGGGAGCTGTTATCTTCTCTCTTTCCCACTCAGACCATACAGTGCTTTAGGGTCCCTGCCACTTAGCCAGCCTGTAGTGTCATGGCCAGAAAGTTTGGCTGGTGACTTAACCACTTAGTTTTTATTTAGGATGCAACTTCCCTGGAGCTATAAGCTTCATTAACATGGAAGGTTCTTACTGTGTCCTTACCTACTCTGCTGCTTGACCAGCCAATTCATTCATTTATTCATGCTAGGCACTTTACATACCTTCCCACCACCCTGTATTCTCAGCATTTTGCATAAATATGAGTCAACTATTACTGTAATTATAGGTCTGCTTTTGCTATGCAAACTCTTGAGGCTGCAGGAACCAATCAGTCACCATTGTACCCTATGCCTAGTGGTTAAAAGATTTTAGTGAATGAACTGAAGGATATAAATACTGTCACCCCTTTTTTCAAATGAAAGAACAGGAACTCAGAGCAACTAAACATTTGCCCAAATAACTCCCACTATAAACCACCCCCTAACAACAACAACAAAGAAGGATGCTCTTGTGTACTGTGGGGAGTACCACAAGACATATTTTTACTATAGCCACAATAGATGAAACAAACTGACAGACTCTTCTGATCGTACCCCATTTTTGCTGGGGAAGGGGGTTCTGTACCTCGGTGAAAGGCACTCGCCGAAAGAATTAGGATCAGTCATTGCTCTGCCCACAGGCATGCCTTTGGTGAGGACCTCTGGCTCCCACCACCACTTACAACCCTGTCTTAAGTGGGTAAGTAAGGTGAAGTTCAGTGTCACATGCCAAACTGAAGCCAGAGACCCAAATAGGACCACTTTCAGTCCATACACAAGTTCTAATGCCCTAAGTCACGCGTTATTTTGTTTCTGTTCTTGTTTTGATTTGAGCCAGTATTTTTTAAGTCAAAGGTTTCCCACAAGAGTGGCTTTGTGTCATCTCTTAAAACTAAAATCTGGTGCCACGTTTCCATGAGGCAGTAATCTCTGGTCTCTGAGTAGTGTCTACCCCCGTTAGCGTACAAAGGATACCTGCTCTGTGCCAGGCCCTGGGCTAGGTAGGGGTGCAGAAGTGAATCGGACGTGGTCCCTTTTCACAAGGGGCTTACAATCTAGAGAACTTGTAAATAATAATTGCAGTAAGACTAGAAGAGCATTGCTTCCTCTAAGGTTCATAGGCCACTCTGATTCCGTCCAATCCCCTTTGCTCATTTCCATAATCTATACACATTTAAAAGCAGGACCTTAGCTTAGTTGGGATCCCAAAAGTCCTTCTAATTGTTTAGGTCACTGAACTACATTGAGATGTTCACTAAGAACCCAAATCCTCATGTACTTCACAAGAAGACTAAAACAGTTACTGCCTTATTAGCAAAGAGACAGAAAAACCTTACAAAGCAGTTGAAGGAGGCAGTGACATAATATTTAATGTTACAGACTTGGAGTGGGCTTTACGCTCAGTCTCCTTGCTTTGTGACTCTGGGCATGTTTCTTCCCCTTTCTGAGCCTCTTCAGCAACTTCACAAGAGAGTGTAGAGCAACCCACATAGCACCTAGTGCTCCTCCAGAGAGCAGGAGTCAGACGTGATGTGTGGCAGGAGCTGCTCTGTTTGGCCATGCAAAGCCTGAGTGTTCTCACCTGCCAGCTCTGCTGGCTGTCTTTAGTTCCCTTGGATCATTCGGCTTGTAATCCAGGTGCACACACAGCAAACCCCCAGGAGACCTGCTAGACTGTAGATCAGCAGTTGGTGGGGGTTGAGCTCATCCTGCTCTTCCCGTCACTCTACAGCATCCCCTGGGATTTTGCCCAGCCTACTTTAAAGGAGCTCTAGAGACCTGGCTCCCGCACTGCTCAGAGTTAAACCTGCTCCCTCAAGGGACTGAAGCAGGTGATCAGTATCTTTCCTAAAATCATCTCATTATGTTTGATCTACTCAGCAAGCATTATGACCTCTGTGCCAAGGCCTTTATTCAGGGCGCACAAATGAATGAGATGATCCCTATACCCTGAGACTTCTCCCTGCAAATCACTGCCCACCCAGGCTGGCCACTTCATTACAGGTAGAAGGAAATGATACTGCGAAGAGACCCCTGTCACCTCTGATTTCTTCTTTGTAAGAAAATAGAGATTCACTATGCAGAAATGCCAGAAGGCCTTTGAAGATGAAGGCTTACCTGCTAAGATTTTTAAAATTTTAATTTCCTTAAAACATCCCAGAGCTATAAGCTTAATATTTAATATCAGATGTACTGTTAAGATCCTAACACCTACTAAACCTAGAATTTTTGAGACCATGGGCTGTGTTTTAATTCACTTCTGGGGTATTTATTGTGCATGGTCCTTACGTGTTCAATGAATGGCAGTTAAACTAAATTATAGTAAAAGAAATGTTAGATTTCTACCACCTTGTTCCTCTGCCCCCACTGCAAGGTCAGGCTGACAGTCATTCATTCAGGTCCATTGTACACACACCATGTCCAGTCTTCCCCTCACTTGATCTGGTGTGCATTTGTTTTACAACTCTGTTGGACACCCGATCTGTGCCAGGCCCTGGACTAGCTGAGAATGCAAAAGTGAATCAGTCATGGTCCCTGCCCACAGGGGCTCATGGTCCATAGAATACATATATAATAATTGCAATTAGGCTAGAAGAGCACTAATTCCCCTGAGTTAAGATTCAAATCCTAGGTCCTAGTACGTGGCCTTTAGAAGTGTTTCAGCCTCTTGGTTTGCTTTTTCATGTATAAAATGACAGTGATGACTGGCTCACGTTAGGGTTCATTGGGTACTACGTTTCAAGCACTGGGCACAAGTGGTAGCTATGATTATTGTAGATGATTTATTCTGAGGAAGCACAGACATCATAGCCAAGAAAAGGCTTCTCAGAGCTGAGGCTTCAAGGTCAAGTAGAAGTTCGTCCAGAGAAGGTGAGAAAAAGTGTCTAAACAAAGCGAGCAACATAGACAGAGAGAGACCCAGAGGTGAGAACTGCCCAGCTCACGGAATTGTGGTGAGGTCTGGCTAGACAGGTTAGCAGCGTTCCTGAAAACCGTACCAAGAGATGTGGGCTTTTTCCTGTAGGCAAGGAGGAATCCATGAAAGGTTTTAAGTGGGAAAGTGAATGTGATGTACTTCAGTAAATTCTCTCTGGCAGCATGGGAGGAAGTAATTCTCAGTGGGAGAGGCAGCTGTGATTGCTGGATTCTACCTCCGCCTCCCCCTAGCTTAACTCATCATCAGATCCCCTGTGCTTTGCTGGACCCTCTCCCAGACGTAGAGAATTGGTCTCTAGGTCTGGAGCCCAGGAATCTATTGTTACCAGATTGCCCCGGGTGACTCTGATGTGTGGCTGGGTCTGGGAACTGCTAAATTAAGGGTGCCATGGGGATCTTTGCGGAGGCCTAGGATATTCTTCAAAGAATGGGGCTTCCGGGGGAGGAGGGAGCTTTTCCATAAGCAGGAGTAGAAATAGCCTTAGTTTAAAAAAAAAAATGAACTTTTCCAAGTTCTCCACTTGTTGCCCACATTCTCCAACTGCTAATCTTTCTTTGTGTATCCAAACACATGCTACCACCTCTGTTGAATGACTGGGATGCATTGAATCATGGGACACAGGCCCTGCCCTTGAAAAAGCTCACCGTGTTGTGGAGAAGACAGACTTCAACAACCAGGCTACATGTGATAAGTTCTATTCAAGAGATATGTTCGGTAGAGAAAAAAGTGTTAGGGCATCCCAGAGCAAAGCACAGTTCATTTTGTTTGTGGACTTAGGAAACTGTGACTCCCAAACTGAGCCTAAAAAGGAGGAGGCAGGGAACAGCATGAGTGAAGATGTGAGTGCTTCATGTACTGGGGGAAAGGAAAGGATATTGTGGGAAGGAATGGTTAATGGTTCTTCGTGGCAGAATGTGCAGGGCAGAAAAGGACTGAGGAGAGGCATGCTTGTGTCCTGGGAAAGGCCCCATGTTCACACCCTTCGGTTCTGTGCCCATGTTCCCACCCTCTTCCTTCAAACTCTAGGCGAATGGACATGGCGCAGTCCCATAGGCCCCCTCCCCTTTATTCCCTACCCAAGGGTCTTAGCTCTCCAGCTCCCTTTCTGGTTTCTCTCTGTTCTGTAGTGAATGTGTATAGGGAAATGAAAGCAGAAAGAAGGGCCCAGAAACACTGAAGGCTCTTATTAGGAAGTTAGAGCCAGAGAACGTGGTCTGGGGGGGTTCAAAGAGGCCTTGAAGGTTACCTGTCTAGTCTTCTGTCCTGTGCTTCAACTAATAACTTTGGATTGGGCAAGTCTCACTTAGTAAGTTTCCCTGTCATTTCTTCCAGGACAGAAGAGGAAAGAAACTAACGGGTATTGAGCACCTACTGTGTGCCAGGCCCAGGCCAGGTACTTTACATAATTTATTTCCTTCTGTCCTCACAACTCTGTGAAGTATGGTTTTATTCTCATTTTATAAATGAGGAGATTGAGGCTCAAAGAAATTAAGTAATAATCCAAGGTTGTACCTAAAATGGCAGAATTGGGATTTGAACTCACAACAGTCTGTCTCCAAAGTTCACACTCTTCCACCCATGAGAAGTCTGCTGGGGTTTCGGAGTAGCCGGTAATAGGGTTTGCCTGAAGTTGCAGGGAAATCAGCAGCAGCTTAGGCCTTCCATGGCACCAAGGAAGCAGGTTCAGCAGATGAACTAGCTTTGGCAGGTAGAAGGTCACTGGGGTCAGAGAGACTCAGCTTGTACAACCAGAGAGAATGCTCCACAAACTGGCTTTATGGTGTGAAACAGCTGGAAGGATCTGAGCCAACAGCCTGCTTGGGAGTTTGGGTGAAAGATCCAGGTCACTGAGGTGCAGTTATACCAGCTCCCTAGGAGTCGGCCGCGCCTCTGATTGCCAGCATTAGAATGGCCTGAGATTCTTAGCACTGAGTCCTCCCGTTAGTGTCCTGGAGTGAGGCAGCCATGCCTCTTTAGCATGACATATTGGGAAAGGGGCTGCTTGGGCTGTGTTTTAGTTTCTGTCTTTTGTGTAGAGCAGCTGAGACATGAGCCAGATAGGCTTGAAGCATTCATTCATTTATTCAGTGAATGCCTGCTGTGTGCCAGGCCCAAGCCAAGCCTAGATTCCTGGGCACACTTAAATGGCCAAGGTCATTCCCTGCCCCCAAAGAGCTCCCATTCTACAGGGGTTTGGGAGTAGACAGAGGATATATGTCTGTGGCACAATGTGATAGATGCTATACTAAAAATTCTACTTAGCCTGGTCCAGCAAAAGCTTCACTGAACTTTGACCCGGAACATAGGGGATGAGTAGGAACTGGCTGAGGAGTAGAGCTGAGGTGCTGAGGTTTGCAGGGGCAAGGTGTATTGAGGAACAGTGTAAATAGAACCTGTGGCTCTCGGGTGTTAGTGTTGAAATGCAGTATGGAGAGGTTAGCTGGGGCCGACTCATGACTATCAGGGGCCAGACGATCCCATGGTAGTGAGCTCAACCAGAAAGGAGCCTAAAGATTAAAGAGAAACCAGGGTAGGAAAGAGGAGGTAAAGAAAGGAGATCCTCAACCTGGGTAGGTATGCAAGAAGGCACATAACAAGCTTGTATTAAGTAGAGAAGCCCAATGTCCTGATTAGTTGATTGTTTTTAACTTGTATATTGTTTTGTGTATTAATTATAATTATATATTACTTTAATTTGTGTTGCTACTTGATTCTTTAAATCGAATATGAGGCATCCTGGGAGTTGGGAGCACTGACAGCCCTGTGCATGAACCTCCCTGGTTGAACTGTGTGTTCTTAAGGCAGCAACTCTATATTGTTTATGTTTCCCAGCACCTAGCACAATGGTTGGCACCAGGTAGGGGCTCTGAGAATGTCTGCTGAATGAGAAGAGTGAGTGGTGAATGGCTGGGCTGATGAGCCTTTCTAGGCTGGAGATTAATCATTTTCTCTGCTTCGGAAGGGGAATTTTAGCTGTTGTCCTCTGCCTTCCTTGGTGACAGGGAGGCACTCTGAGTTGGGTGACTTGAGAGTAGAGTGCTCCACGTGGCCACTTCAAATAAAATCTGGAAACTGTTTCAGGGCTGCTGGTTAGATACAGCATGTGTCTTGGGGGACTCCTCTACAGACATTCTCAAACTCTTGGGAGTAACAGGAATCCACGAGCGAGTCTGGTTCCGGAAATTAGATCCAGCTTCAAACACAGTCCCTGACAGCCGACTGGCCTGGTGACACACAAGCCCCAAATTGTGGTCAGAAAGGCCAAGGTGAAAAATTCATTTCATGTCCCCAAAGAGCTATCCAGATATGCCATGAACTCTATATGGTTGTTAATAATCACTATTGTAGTGTGCCTGTTGGGTGGCAGACACTTGTCAGATGCTTTACATCAGCAGCTCTCAGAGTGTTTGGTCTTGGGACCCTTTTACATTCCTAAAAATTGCTGAGGACCCAAAAGAGCTTTTGTTGGTTAAACTATTGGTATTTACCAAATTAAGTATTAAAGCTGAGAAAGTTTAAAAATATTTAGTTACTAATTCATTTCAGAATAACAATATTAAACCTATCACATTAACATAAATAACAACTTTTAAATGAAAAATAACTTTTTTCCAAAAAAATTAGAATGGTCCTGTTTTCATTTTTCAAATTTGTCTGCCTTAATAGAAAAAAGTTGGATTCTTATGTATGCTTCAGTATTCAGTCTTTTGCAATACATTGTTTTGATTGAAGTATGTTTAAAAAAATCCAGCCTCACTCAGATATGTCATTGGAAAAGGCAGAAGTATTTTGATAGCCTTTCCAGATGATTGTTCATATTCTTCTTTGCAATATGGAGTCTGAGACCGTATCAATAAAGCCTTTATATGCATTTACATTAAAATCTGTTGGCCCATCTAACAATTCTGAGTGGATTTGTTTTTACCAGTGCGTGATTCTGTAACATCATGCTTTGATCATTTGGGAAATAGGTTCACTGAGTTATGTAGATCTTCCAAATGTTTTCCCATTTCATTTTATAATATCAAAAGATACATTTGTTAATACCACCAATTTCATCAAAAGTCTTTAAATATTGGAAAGCTGTCAAGTTCATGATTATGAATACAAGTTTTCCAAAATTCTAATTTTCACCTGAAAGTTGAATTTTGTCATTGGCCACAAATACAAAGTTGTTTTCCTTGAAGTGACAGGCTCATTTTGTTCATTTTTTGAAAAAGTGTCTGCCAATTTTCTCTCTTTTTTTCTGGGAAAAACTAGAATGCCCTAGCATGTTCCTCAGGGGAAGTCAGAAAAGTCTTGGGCCTGGTCAGGTGAGGGAGCAGATATTGCTTTTAATGGCTACTCATGCCAGCCCCCTGGGCTGAGAGTGGCCACAGTCTAGTGTTCACCTGGATCCTAGACTGCTCTCGGGGTGTGTCTGTTACAACATGGATCCCCTTTGTGAATAACCCCACATTGTCCAGAGATTTTTGGTTTTGCTCAGAGTGAAACAGAAATATCTTGGAGCTTTTTTGAGCAGACCCCAAGTCTAGAGAACTCCTAGAACCTTTCCTTTTTCTTTCCCCATCTTTGCCCAAGGCTAGACAAGATCTAGAGAGGCTCTGAGATGTAAACTGAGGTAAGAAGGAATAGTTAGTTGTTGCCCAGGGTTGCTGGGTTTAAAAATCAGTTCCTTCAGCCTTTGTGATGAAGAAACATGGTCGGAATTTTCATTCATTCAGTAAACATTTATTGATCCTGTTCTTCACATGGGAATACTGTGCCAGGTGCTAAAAGTACAGCTTGAGAACAGCTAGCTGAAAGCCTGAATTGACTTCAGGACATAAGAGGTCATCATTGTTAGGAATTTGGGAAATAGCATGAGATTGTAGTCCAAGGGGACTGTGAACGAAGAGGTTTTCTCTGCCAAAGCAAAAATTTAAAAGAACAGAAGTAGCTTTTTGACTATATATAACATCTCCAGGGCTTGGGGTTCTCACTATCCTCTGGCAATTAAAGTAGATGAAAATGTCAGAGAGAAAAGTGCCCCAGCTCCACTGGGAGTTTTACCCAGGGGCAGGCATCGTGGCTTAGGGTTATGACAGTTTGAGGGTGGTCCCCAGGATTGCCCGTCCAAGAAAGTAAGAATCTAGATACCAAACTCAAGACAGTGGATAAGCTAGTTTCCAGTGTAGACTTATTAAGAACAGACCAGCCAACGGGCCTATGTAGTAGACTGAGTGCCTCCTGCCTGGATCCCTTGATCTAAGTGCTTTGTGTCTGTAGTGCCACTTAATCCTCTGGATAACTTTATGCAATGTAGGTGGTATCATCCCTGCTTCAGTTTGTACTTAATTAGCTTTCCAGGCCCTGTGTTTCTTCCTTTAACTAGAAAGATAGTCTGCCCTATATGTTCACTTGCATTGATGGCTAATCTTATTTACTATGCTTGCCAGTTTGGCTCTAGGGAAAGTCATATTATTTCCATGAACGGGGCACCTCATTGTAATCCCCAACGAATTCAGTCTTCCACTCTTCCGCACTTGAGATTGGAACCATTGAAGTGGAGGTTCAGGGTGGGGAGATAGCCTTTTTCTGTGGGAAACAGTAATTTCAAGCAGTGTCACACCAAACTGCCTGCCATCTGTATGTTGCCACAGGGACATTTAACAAATCTGATTTAGCCACTATGTGCCCAGCTAAGCCTGTGCCCCTTGATACACTGTGAGGGATCCAGACACGAATCAGACCTGGTGCTTGTCTCCTAGGAGCACAACCTAGCAGAAGGGACGGAAGATGCAGGTTAATAATTAAGTGGAAGGCACAAATGCTGGAACCAAGGCACGGTGTGCTATAGGGCTGTGAGGAGGAGAGGAGACTCTCTAGGAAAGCTTGGATGGATGAGGTTGGATCTGAGTTGGGCTTTTTTTAAGCCCTGTCCATCTATTCTGTTGGTAAATGTGCGAAGGAAGGGAGTTTTCGGCAGAGGATCCCCTTTAGATGAGTAGGAGAATACAGGGAGTATTTGGGGATCTTAAGGAATGACTTCGGGAGTAAGGACAGAAATTGAGATGCCCAGAAGTCACCTTCAGTTCATTGCATGTGAGAGATACTTGCATTCCTGTAAAATACAGTGACTGTATACTCTGTATTTTCAGCCCTAGTCCTGATTTTAAATACTATCTCCCTTTACTCCCATCCTGTTCATAATTAATGCCATATGTTGAGCCATGTATTACGTGCCTGGCACTGGGATAAGTGCTTTCACAGTGCTCACAGCCAGCCCTACAAGTTAGGACTTAATCCTGTCTTACAGATGAGGAGACAGAGGGTAGAACTTGCCTAGCATCACGCAGCCAGTAAGTGATGGGGGCCCAGGGTTAATGCCAAGCCCGTGTTGCTTTTCTGGTGCACCGCAGTACCTCCCGCAGGTGCTTTGGCACTAAGTACAGTCACACTGATCACATATTTAACTTAAAAGAATTCTGTGTTCACTTCTAAAAGAAAACATAGAAAAACACTTACAATACAGTGTCCTTTACATTATACATTTGAATTCTTGGTCATGCCTACAGAACCATATGTGCTGTACTTTATAGGCCATATTAAAATTTTTCAAGAATATAAGATTTTCATCTCATGTAATAAATGTAGAACCTAACACCCAAATGAAATGACGCTCCACTGTAGTAAAATTACACGTCCTAGTGTTTGCCTTAAAAATACGGTCACCTCTCTGTTTCTCACAGGGAAAGGGTCTTTGGGTGTTGGCCTCACCTCTTCCTCCTGGAGTTGCTGGGCACCTTGTAGCTATGGGAAGTTTCCTGGGTACACGTCTCAGAAAGGCCTCCTCTGCCTTAACTTCTCTGAACACCATCCTTCCATCAGCCTTCCACTCTTTCCATGAGATACTCACTGCCGGTGGGCTCCAGAAGCCCGTGTCCCTTTGCAGCTGACCTTAAGTAGCTGCCTTGCTCACTGAGACATCCCCCCTGGCAGACGTTAGGCAGCCTCTCATGTGAATTCCACATGTAAGATTTCTTTCTCTCTCTGGTACTCTTTTCCAAGATCCTTTTACTTCCCCAAATGTTTCAGTATGCTCCTGGTACTACTGTCTGGTTGCCTTCTTTTTCTAGAAACCAGAGACCCAGGTCAATGTAATTGTAGTATTACAGATTGAAGGATACCCTGATGCCAACTTATTGTGAGAAGGTGATTTTATTTGAAAAACATGATGCCATTTATTTTATTGTTGGAGTGAAAATGATACCCTTATTATTCCTTTGCTTAGGCCTCTGCAAACACCTGTTACCTAGTGGTGGGTAAGTTTGGAAGGTATATCAGTTAAACTGTCGTGTATAACAAGCCACCCAAAACTTAGTGGCTTAAAACAACACCACTTACCATTTGTCATGAGTCTCTGGGTTGACTGGGTGTTTCTGTTGATTGGGGCCAGCTTGGCTGATCTCAGGTGGACTCACTTGTGTATATGATCTGCTAGCCAGTCAGCTGGGAAGACTCAGTTGTCTCCACACATCTCTCACATCCCTCCAGCAACTAGCCTGGTCATGCGCACACGGCGGGGCAGAGGCGCGAGAGCGGGCAAGCCCAGCCGTGCAGGGAAGCAGGTAGAAATGCAGGCACACTGTTCGAGCTTATGCTGGCAGCACACTGGTTGCCATCCAATTAGCCAAAGAAAGTGACATGACAGTACCTTAGTGAGGAGGGACCATAAAGTTGCAGAATATAGGAAAGCCGTTAATTGAGGTCAGTAAACACAGCCAGTCCCCAGTCAGTACTCCTTGATGTGATAGAAAACCTATAGACTTATATTTCTAGGTCAGTTTTTTTCTAGAAGGTAAAAAAAGTTCAAGTAATAACTCCTGTGTATTGGGCCTGTGCTGTGGGCACGCACAGGGCTAGGCACTTTCCCTGTTTGTGCTCCAGTCCTCGTAACTGCTCTGCAAGGTGGGTAGGAAATCGGAGCTTGGGAAGTTCAGTAACTCGCTCAAGGTCACCCACCTGGTTTGTGGTCAGAGAGGGATTAGAATGCACGTTCATCTGACCCGCAAAGCCCAGGTCCTTCCCACCACACCTCACTGCCTCTCAGAAGCACTGGGGTCTCCTTTACACTCCAGCTTGGTTTTCGGGCGAGTTGACGCATTTTGATCAGCTCCTCCAAAACGCTGCTGGGATTTGTGCAGCTCTTCAGGAAACCCACATGTTCTCCCAAACTTCCGTTAACTGAAAGCATGTCTTCCTTTCAGGTGGGAATTGATCTGTAGACTGCACAGACAGCCCAAGAACTGTGGCCTCTCCCCGATATGCCAGAGGAGGAAGGGCCATCTTCTCATTAACCTTCAGGCTTTGGGGACATTGGGGCATTAGGGCATTTGAGCATGAGCTTTGGAGTCAGCCTCACTAGGATTCAAATCCTAGTTCAGCCAGTCACTAACCCTGTGTAACCTTGGGCAACTTACTTAACTTCTTGAAATTTGCTTCTTAAAAAAAAAAATGGAATAGTAACACCTAGTTTGCAGAGCTGTTACAGGGACTAAAATTAGGTAAATAAAGTGCCTAACCCAGTGCCTGGCACGTAATAAGTGACATTATTAGTATCATTAACATTATTTCTAAGCAGAGCCTTCCCCCTCCTGGGAAACCCTGTTTCTGTCTGTTGGACAGGTCCCCCCCACCTCCAGCCAGTCTGTGCAGACTTGCTGCCTGCTGTGTCACCGGGAACGCAAAGGCTGGGAAGAAGGCCCTTCCCAAAACGGACTGGTGTTGCAGGGTGAGAAGCTGCCCCCTGACTTCATGCCAAAGCTCGTCAAGAATCTCCTAGGCGAGATGCCTCTGTGGGTCTGCCAGAGCTGCCGAAAGAGCATGGAGGAAGATGAAAGGCAGACAGGTCGAGAACATGCAGTGGCGGTAGGTAACCGCTGAGAAGGGGTCCCTGAATGCAGGAGCGCTGCCTGCCCAAAGAAGTCAGGCCGCTGAGCTGTTCCTGCCCTGTCCTCTCAGGCGCCAAGGGGCTGCTGGGCTGCATCCACACAGCGTTAGCAGCTCAGGTTCAAATTCAGGGGAAGAAAAGAGAGGCTTCAGGCAGCACCAGCCCCCGAGGAGAGTGCACAGTGTGAGGGCCGGCTCGGGGGCACTGGTAGATCGAGATCCTGCCCCTTCCTTGTGACCAGGCTGCCTTCAGCTTTGTGGCAACTCAAAAGCCATCCAGAATGGCATGGAGGGCAAAGGTCAGTTTGAGGGTCTGCAGTGTGCCTCCGTTAGAAAGCCTCCAAGATGCCTGGGAGCCAAGTGCCATCTCCTGAGTCGCAGAAGTCAGTCTCCTTGTTTCTCATTCCCCTCCATCTCTTTTACCCAGAAACAGTTCAGCTTCAGGACTCCTGACTTTAAGATCCTTCCTCTCCTTGGCAGCTCTCAGGACTCCCCAAAGGCCCACAGTTGAGCGGCGGTCTCTGCCCCTACCACAGTGTCTCCCGCCCATACCCACATGCTTCACTTCGCCAGGAGCACCGCAGCCCCTCCCGGCAGAGGCCTGACCCGCATTTGCACTTGCACCTGGAGCTGCACTTGTGCTTCGGCCACAGCGTTCGGTCGTGGAGGAGGAGGTGCTCCTGGGGAAGCTGAGGCAGCAGAGGGCCAGCTCTGATGTTTGCTGTTTTACCATGAGCCTTTTTCTTCCCCCTTCCCCAGATCTCCTTGTCACACACATCCTGCAAATCACAGTCCTGTGGAGGTGACTCTCATTCCTCTTCGTCCTCTTCCTCATCGTCCTCGTCCTCATCCTCGTCCTGCCACGGGAACTCAGGGGACTGGGATCCCAGCTCGTTCCTGTCAGCACATAAGCTCTCAGGCCTCTGGAACTCCCCGCACTCCAGTGGGGCCATGCTGGGCAGCTCACTCGGGAGTCCTCCTGCCATCCCTGGTGAGTCTCCAAGCTCGGAAGAGAGCCAGGCCCCATAAATGGAAAGAGCTGTTTTCCCAACCACTTTGTTTGAACAAATCAGATCAGTTATTAAAATAAGTAAAAGTGGAGCTGTTCTGGTGGAAGCCAAAGAGGGGAGTCCTTCCCCGAGGACTCTGAACTGGAAAAATACTGCTGTCATTGCCTCTGAGAGCTGTTCTTGGATCCAGGAGGGGACTTGGTGAGCACTGACAAAATAGAAAATAGAGTCTGAAGGGCCCTTAGGGAATTAGGGCTTAGATCACCTGACATCTGCTCCTGCAACAGCACAGAGGACCTGTCCTCTTCCTAAGCCTCCCTTTCCCCACCCAGGGGGTGAGTGTTTTTATAAAAGCACTGCACTTCCACCCACAAGTGATTGGCAGTGTGAACCACCTTGATAATTAGCCAATTTTGCAGCTGTATAAAACTTTTATAGACCCTGAGATACTGCTCAGAGACCCAAAGAAGAAATCCTGGGTTGTTAATAACCTGGGTTGTGAATATAAATTACTGTCCACTTCTAAATGAAGGACCTGAGTTCTTCAAAGGGGTTCTGCCCCAGAATTGTGAATTGAGCAGTACATAATTCCAGTTACTTTGGTGCATCAGCCAGAGAGAGTCATCAGATCCTTTTCCACTTGTCTTCTGAAATCTGGGGCCACCTGAGAGTCTGGCACACCCTTGCTGCCTTGGTCCAGGTGGCCCAGAGGCTGAGCCTTGGCCAGCTGCTCCACCGGCTTCTGTAGATCCTGCCCTGGGCCAGGAACACGAACAAACAGGTCCTGGAGAGACACTAAGAGACAGAACATGTGTCCCCTGTTTATGCCAGCAGAAGTATGCAGCCTTGCATGGGGCTGCCATTCCTGGTGCCTTCTCCCTCAGGCCTGGGCTCCTCCGGCCTGTCCCGCCAACTTGCTGCTTGCAGAGAAGTCTCTCCAGCCCAAGGCACTGCTGGGCTTTTTCAAAAGCTCGTGGGTCCACCGTGCTGAAAGACTGTGCCCAGTTTCCTTCTGGTCACAGTAAACAGGATGCTGTGGCAACGAGCCCTTGGGCTTTCCTTCCCAGAGTCTGGGCTCCACACTGACACCTGTTTCCCCCATCCGCCCACAGGTGAGGTTTTCCCCATCTCGGAGCACCACCGGCACTCAGACCTCACTGCTCCACCTAACAGCCCCACCGGCCACCACCCCCAGCCAGCGTCGCTAATCCCATCTCACCCCGGATCCTTTGGCTCACCACCCCACCCACACCTGCTGCCCACCGCCCCGGCAGCGCCTTTCCCTGCCCAGGTTTCAGAATGCCCTGTTGCTGTTGCTGCCGCCCCCCACACCCCAGGGCCATGTCAGAGCCCTCACCTTCCCTCCACCAGCATGCCGCTCCTGAAGATGCCTCCGCCGTTCTCGGGTTGCAGCCACCCCTGTAGTGGACACTGCAGCGGGCACTGTGGTGGGCCGCTCCTCCCGCCACCCAGCTCCCAGCAGCTCCCTAGCTCTCACAGGTAAGTGAGCGGCGTGGCTTGAACTTAAGAGTTTGGGGGAACTTTGCAAAGGGTACCTTTAGAGTGGAAATTAAAGGGTAGACTATTTATGTTTTTTTCATAGTTCTTCCAATTATAAAAGAAATATGCATTTATTATTTTTTAAAAAACTTGGAAAAATTTAGAAATGTATAGAAGAAGAAAAAATTCCTGGCAACCTGAAGATAAACTTTAATGCTGCAGTGTGTTTTCTCCCTGATGTTTCTATAAATAACAAAATGAGGTCCATGTTCTATATATTTTTGTTGTAGTTACTTCTTGACATTATACCACAATCATTTCCCCAGTTAAAATTCTTCAAAAAACTTTTCAGTAGCCACATAGAGTCTTATTTTGTAGCTCTGGTGTAACTTATCATTCCCCTGTTCCTGGACATTTCTTAGTTTTTCATAATAGTTTTATAATAGTTTTTAACTATTATATATATTACTATATATTAACTATTACAGTGTTTAACTATTATAAACGAGGCTGTAAGAAGCACCGTTGCACCCACATCTGTTAGAGTCATGCGTTCTGTCCTTAAGGTAGATTCCTAGAAGTAACTCTTAAGTATTGAGAAAGTTTATATTAATACGCATTTGAAAGATACAATTCTTTGGAGAAGATAGATGTATATTTTTATGTTGTGAATCAAATCTGTGCTTATTGGGCATTTATATTTTCCCACTCTAAAATCCCACCTAGCGTCTTTCCCACGTGGTACTGGTGGTGTCTGTATGCTTTTTCGTCGTCTGCTTTCACGTGGCACTGTTAGGCTCCTGTGTGGCTTCTGATCCTCAGCTTTAAAGGCTGGAGAATTCTCCATAGTGCACTTTGCTGTTCTCCTGTTGCTGACCAGTTAGGTCATTCCAACATAGTCACGTTATAAATAATTTCTTTAACGATGTCTTTGCCTCTTTTGGATTTTTCTCCTTGAAATAGATTTCTCAAAATGAAAAAAAGTTCTCAGTTTAAAGGATGTCAGAGTTTTTTTGTTTTGTTTGTTTGTTTTTTTGAGAAGGGTCCTTAATACACATCGAAAAGGGGCTCTCCAAATTGATGTAACCACCGCTGTTAAAGCGCTGATTTCTTCACATTCTCAGGAGCACTAGGTATTTTAACTTTGTGAACGTAGTAAATGCAGAGGTGGTCAGTTTGGGTTAAGCTTCTCTAAGCAGCATGATAACGGTTCCTGCCCCTTGGAACCGCCCTCCCTCCTCCTTGCCCACCCTTCTTCCTGGCTCCCTCAGCCTCAGCCTCAGCCATGGCCCCAGCCCCCGGGCACGCCCACTGCTGATGGCCAGTCCAGAGCTCTGGCTCTTCTGGCTTCAATTCTGGGACCTTCCTTACCGTGGGAAAATAGCCTGTATAACAAGATGCCCCGTGCTTCCTGGAAGCCAGAGGCGGAGCAGTGCAGCGGTGTGTGGGGGGGGGGGGCATGAGCTGTGCACACAGGTTCCCAGCTGCTCCGTTGGCATAGCAGTGAAGCAGTCTGCGCCTCTGTCTCTTCCACTGCCAGGTGGGGATGGCAGCACTCATCCTGCAAGACTTGGGGAATTGTTAGAAATAATATGCTGAACACAGCACCTGGTGCAAACATAGCTCTTAGTCTGTGGACCCTGTGGGCACAAGGCACATTTGCTTTCCTGACCTCAAGGCCCCACAGTGAAGGCAACTCTGCCGCTGTTCCAGACCCTGTCATAGGGGCCTTGGAGAGTAACAGAACATTGACCACCTTTCATGTTTTGGGGAGCCATCAGCCCACTAATCTATTCAGGCACTTACTGAGCACCTACTGTGTGCAAGGCTGTTATGCTACACACTGGGACCCAAAACTAGAAGTGGCATAGTTCCTGTTCTTGGGGGACGCGCAGTCTGGTCTGGAGAGACGGGTGGGCAAACAGACCATCGCTGCAAAGCGTGACAGACAGCAGGATAGACAGAGGTCTGCCTGGTGCCCAGGAGGGTCACATGTAGGTGCGGCCGAGGAGGCACAGGGACCCTCTCCAGAATAGCACCGTTGAGCTGGGCCCTGAGGGGCAGCGAGGCGTTTGCCCTTGTTCTTGTGCTGAGACGGTCTGACTGCCATGGCCTTTGTGGGATGAGGCAGGTGAAGGGTAGCTGGGATGGTGATGGAGGGACCGCTTCCCGGGCTCCTTCCACGGCCTGCTCCTGCCCTGCCTTTTCTCACCTTTGGGCCTGTCTTTCTCCCCCGTCAGCAGGGACCCCGGGTGCAAGGGGCACAAGTTTACCCACAGTGGCCTGGCCTGCCAGCTGCCCCAGCCCTGCGAGGCAGATGAGGGGCTGGGCGAGGAGGAGGACAGCAGCTCAGAGCGTAGCTCCTGCACCTCGTCCTCCACCCACCAGAGGGACGGGAAGTTCTGTGACTGCTGCTACTGTGAGTTCTTCGGCCACAACGCGGTGAGTGAGCCCGCCCGGCCAGTGCGGGCGGGGCGGCCGAGGGGGGCCAGCAGAGCCACCTGCTCTCCCCAGGGCCCCCTTACTTGGGGATAATAATCACACTTGGACCCTGTAAGTCCTCATGCCTGTGTCTGCTCGCTTGATCCTCACAGCACGATGGTGAGGTAGGGATTTTTTTAGCATTTTGCTTCCTTTGCTCTTTTTGTGGTTTCTCTTAAGATTGACTTTTTTTCCTTAGGCTAAAAGAAAGGAAACTGCAGAGGAAAGCTATGATTCTGATGAATATATATACGTGTGTAATCACAGAGAAGTGAAGGCTTGTGCGTGGTGAAGGCAGAGCGGAAGCAAAGGCTCTCGGCCCCCAGTGTGAGAGCCAGCCGAGGGACAGGCCGTGAGCACAGACGGCGCCAGGAAGGAGGCTCAGAGCAGAGTACATGCTGTCTCTGGACAGGGAGAGAAAGCAGTTCAGAAGTCTCATAAGGTGAAGAGGAAGGGGCCGCCGGCTAGGATAGAGCAGTTGAGGACTGAAGAAATGAAAGCAATTGCGTTGCTGGTCACCTTTGAGCTAGGGGTTGTTATCCTCATTTTAGAGATGGCAAAATTGAGGCTCACAAAGACTCAGTGACCTGCCCAAGGTCATACAACTTCCAAGTGACAAAGCCTGGGCTCAAACCTGCTTTCCTGGCTCCCAGGCCAGTGTGCTCCCAACGCTGCGGCGGACCTCCCCATCCCTCCGCCCGCCGCGGCCTCGGCTCTGGGCCTGGCGAGGGTGGAGCCGCTTGGCCTTTGTGGCTCTGGTAGAGAGAACAGTTGTCTCGCTTCTCACCACGTGTCTGGTGCCCGCGGGTGGGAGTGCTGCGGGCTTCCCAGGCCCGGGGTGTAACGTCAGCACCTCCCCTCCCCCAGCCACCCGCTGCCCCGACGAGTCGGAATTATACTGAGATCCGGGAGAAGCTCCGCTCGCGGCTGACCAGGCGGAAAGAGGAGCTGCCCATGAAGGGGGGCGCCCTGGGCGGGATCCCTGGGGAGCCCGCCGTGGACCACCGAGATGTGGATGAGCTGCTGGAATTCATCAACAGCACGGAGCCCAAAGTCCCCAACAGCGCCAGGGCCGCCAAGCGGGCCCGGCACAAGCTGAAAAAGAAGGTGGGTGTGGGGGGAGCCCAGCTCTACCACCTCTTCTCCCCGAGGAACCTCTCGCCCCAACCCCTAGGACTTCTGGGGCATGAATGGTGCTGGCTGCCAAAGGCCTCGGCACGGCTCACTGCTCCAGGAAGGTCTGAATGAGTTTGGGAGGCATCAGGGTGAGGGAGCCTGGGGGCCAATGATTGGAGGAAAAACAAGTCCTGGCGTCAAGCCACTGGATTCCTCAAAGCCAGGACTTGCTTCAGTCAGTCAGTCATGTATTCATTCAGCAAACATTTCTGCAAGTACTGGGAGCCAAAGCATGATGCAGTTAAGTTCTCCCCCTGGAGAAGATCAGTCCAGTGGAGAGACTGACACAAAACTGGACGAGCACGTTAGCGTATGACAAGTGCTGGGATGAGGGAAGCCCCCCATCCTGCCTGGGCGTGCTGGAAATGGCTGTACCACGGGGCTAACTCTAGAGCTGAGTCATGGGGAGTGAGTACGTATTCATCAGGAGGGCCCTCCTGGCAGCGGGCACAGCATGTCCGCGGCAGCTTTGTGTAGCCAGAGCTCAGACAGGAGAGGCAGGACAAGTAGTGGAGGTGAGGGAAGGGCCTCTTAGGCCCTGCTGAAGAGCTTTAACTTGATCCTACTGCTGAGGGGTGGGTTACTGGAGGATTTTAATCGAAGAATGCACTTGGTCAGATCTGTATTCCAAGATTACTGTGTGACAGTCTGGAAGGTAGCCTGGAGGGGTGCTGCTCCAGGCTAGAAAACCAAAAGCCAGGGGAGAGATGATTGATAGTCGGGCTGGAGCAAGAGAGATGGATTTTCAGAGGAAGCAGCAATGACAGGCTCTGGTCACCTGATTGCAGGACAAGATGATGGGGTCAGGGATATGTCTGTCTCAAGTGTTTGCTAGGGTGACTGGCAGGATGGTGTGGCTGGTCCTGAATAAGGATGGGATTGGCAGAAGACTGGGAATTCAGCTGGGGCACATTGACTTGGAGAGTCTCGTGAGATATCTGAATGGAGATGGAGGTGTGGGGCTGGGAGTTGCCAGCATGGAGGTGTAATTGAAGCCAGGGGAATGACCCAGCCTGAGGGCTGAGTGAGCTCCTCCCAGAGGGCTGAGGAGAGAACCAGGCAAGCTATACTCAGGTAGCCCTGATGCCAGGCGAGCCCCAGGGCTTGATGGCTCATCCCCTGCCGCCTCATTACCTCTTGGCCTGCCTGGCCTCAGCTACGTCTACACAGTGCCACACTCAGGAGCTCAGCGGCTGAAGAGAGTTTGACAGTCAGCTAGCTCCAGGTCCCGGGTGGTCAAACAGCCCTGGTGCTCTGGAAAGCAGCAGTGATTCTCCATCTTTATCCAGCCCAAAGGACAAGCCAGGATTCCCTTCCTGAAGCCTGAAATAGTGAACCAAAGGGTCCCACTACTGCCTTCAGAAAATGATCAGCATTTTCCGTCTCCCGTCCAGCGTTGCCTGGCCAGAAGTATGCGGTGGACAGCAGTGGTCTCTCCAGCCTTTCCTGGCCTCCTAAGGCTGTGGTTCCCAGTTGGGTCCCAGTGAGCACACTTTGCAGTTCCCAGGCCTCATGTGCTTTTCTGTACATTTCTGTGCCTGGATGTCTTTTCTCCATCTCAGTCACCTCCTTGTCCTCCTGACAACCTCCTTCCAAGCCCAACTCAGATGTTTCCTTGCGTGCAGTCTTCCTCAGGTAACTGCTTCCACTCTGCTACAGCTGCACCTCTCATATCTCTCTCCTGCCACGTATCGTTCTCACTCGGCCAGAACTTCGACACAGCTGCTGTCTGCCCTGCTCCGTCTGGAGGCCAGGATACAACACGAAAGCAGACCGTTCCACTGTCACGTAACAAGCGAGTGTGGTCATTGTCTGTGTATACGTCAGCCGCCTCCCCAGTGCCCCTCCTCCACCTCCCTGATTTATCTACAGTCTGGCTGTCCACCAGAAATACAGCTTCCACCAGGAACCACCCTCCCGCCTGGGGAGACGGATAAAGCTGAGTGTCTTTCCAAATCATGACTCTCTCCCTCACGTCCTCTGCACCTTTGAAACTGACCCCTGGCTCTATCATTTACAACCTCCCACCACCACTCCTGTTTGTTGGCCAAATACTGTCACCTGTCCTCCTTCCCTTCCCAGGCCAGTTGAGGTCCCCTGACCCTCCTTCCCTCACTCTCCTACCAGTGCTCAGTTTCTCACCCTGTTCCCCTTCCATTACACCCGCTCAGAAAAACCGCATTCCCAGGTTCAACCCCAGCCTGCCTCTCCCCGACAGCACCTCGAGGAAGGCACCAGATCGAAGGCCAGCTGGCCTCCCGCCTGCCTGAGCCCCCACCGTGCAGCTCTCTGGTCTTCCAGCCCTTCTTCACTTCCACTCCCCACAGCCCCTTTGTCAGACCTCCATTCTTCTCCAAGCGCCAGCGTATTTTCCGGCAGATCACTTCACTTCCTGTTTCAACAAGGATTAAAAGCCCAGTGGAGAGGCACTCTCTCAGCGTCTTACCACCTCACCTGCACATCTTTCTTGTCATGAGGGAAGAGTTCGCCTTTTCCTGCCTCCTCAGTCTAACACCGGCTTCCTGCCGTGTGCTCCAGCCTCTCCTCTGGGCGGCTTCCCATCAGCATTTCACTGGACCCACTACTCTCTCTTTTCTGAAAGCCAGCTGTTCTCTGAGCGCAGTACCCCTCTCCCTACCCCAGTCTCTTTCCTCTCATCCCGGGAGAACGTCATACGGGTTCACTGTCTTTCTTCTCCCATCAGCTCACTGCAAATTGTTTACCCCCACCCTCCACAGAGCCACCAGTGACTTCTTTGTTGCCAAATCATGTTCTCCTGTTCCATCTTTTCCACGAGGCAACATCTCACATCTTGTGTTCCTTCTCCTTTCCAGACATTGTTTTCTTTGGCCCCTCTGACCTCAGCCAGGTCGGGGCAGGGAAGGGGCAGTGGGGAGGCTGTGTCCTTCGTTTCTCACTTCCCCTCTGCCCTTTCCTCTGTCTCCCTTGTGAGCTCCTCACCCTCTGCCCGGCCCTCCCACTCGAGGGCATCTCCCGGGGAGAGAGCCATCTGGGTAGTGTTGCCTCCTGGTCCGTTTCGCCCACCTCTCTCCTGTCTGCACATAACAGTGACATCCCCTGCTGCTGCTGGGCCTTCCTCACAGACGTCCCGCAGCTGCTCAGACTCAGGGTATCCCACACTGAACTTGTTACCTTTCTCCAGAGAGCCCGCCCGCCCTTCTCTGTTGTCTGTCTAGTGAATGGCACCACCACCCACCCAGTTGCCGGAACCAGAGCCCTGGGCGCCGTCCCGGGAGGAATGCACCATGGCAATCGAGAGCAGTGGGCCTTGGAATTGGACCCCAGCTGGAAACCCGGCTCTGCCGTACTTGCTGTATGACCTTGGGCAAATCACTTAACCTCTAAGCCTCAGTTTCTTCCTCCATAAAATGAGAATAACAGTAGAACGTCTCTCCAGGTTGTGGCGAGAATGGAGTGGAGTGACGCACAGAAAGGCTCCGCAGAGCGAGCGCGGGGTCAGCGTGGTGCCAGCAGCGCTTATCTGTGTTTCCACGACTCGTCTCGTTCTCCCTCCCTACCCGTCACCGGGGCTCCTGGCCGTACCACCTTCCAAGTTGCTCATGCAGCGCACTTCTCTCCGCCCTACTGCCACTGCTTTAAAAGCCCTCAGTGGCTGAATGTTGCCCTGAGGATCAAATCCAGGCTCTAGCGTGGCCTGCAGGCTCTTCAGGATCCAGCCCCTGCCCAGCTTGTCAGCTTCTCTCTGTCTGTCCTGTGTGACCTTCCCGCCCACTCCCCCCGCCCGCAAAGAAATGTGTGCGCCATCCATCCCTCTGAGCATTTGCATTCCCTGAGGACTTTGCCTGTTCCCATTTCCCAGCCTTTTCACTTGCTCTTCTTTTTATCTAGAAAGTACTTGTCTCGTCTTTTCCAGAATAATCCCACTCACCCTTCATTGCTCAGTGAGATACTGCCTCCTCTGAGCAGCACTCTCTGATGGCCCAGTCTGGGTTCCCAGAGCACTGAGTGCTTTTCTGTAGCTCTTGTCACGGTCACTCAGAATCAGACACCCTGTGCGCATGTCTGTCTCCCCCAGGAGACTCAGGTCAGCAATTAGAGGACTGTCTCGTACACAGCTGAATTCCCTGAGCCCAGCCCAGTGCCCCACAGTCACAGGTCACGAAATGATTGTTAAACAATATCGAAAAACTTAGGAATTTCTGCAGATCACACCTGGATGTGCCGTCCCGACTCTGCCACTTAACTAGCATGTAACTTTGGGCCATCTCGTTATTCTTTCCAAAGTGAAGTTTCCTCACCTGTAAATTGAGGATGATGACACACGAGGGCAGTTGCGAGGATTAAATGAGACAACATGTGGGAAGTCCCAGGCTCGTGGTACACAGCAGAGAACCTGTGCTTCTGTGCTTTCTCCTTCCTTCTCTACCAAGTTGTATGTGGTTCTGCATCGCTCCCTCTACACTAGTAGTTCTCAGACTTACTTGTTTAGCAGCAAAACTCTTTTCTGCAGTTGAAGTCTCCCATGGAACCTTAGTTCTTGACAAACAGAAGCAAAGCCCTTCTGGTGCAGAAGAGGAGCCAAGTGAAGGGCATTCCAGTTCTTTGTCCATCCCCATGGCCTCAGAGCTCTGCCTGTGACCTTGAACTCACGGCACACAGCTCTTCCAGACTGAGCTTCTTCCTCACCTGAGCACCACAGTGCCAAAGCACAGCCTTATTAGAGCCTGGGGAAAGGGACATAACACTCGCTCAGGTGTCCTCATAGCAACCCTGTAAGGTATAGAAGTTGATAGTTTTTCTCCCAAATTTACAAATGGAGATGGTAAGGTTCAGAGAGAATAAGTGATTTGTCCAAGGTCCCACAGTGGTGGTCCTGGTCAGTCGTGGAGCCACCATTCAAAAAAAGGTGAGAATAAACAAAGGCATGCCCGCTGGGGCACACGGTCACCCTCTTTAGGTTGACACTGAGGTGGTCAAGGGAAGAAAGCCTTCTTTTCATGCCCCACTTTTCCTATTTCTCCCCCTCCATTCCCAGATCAGCTGAAAATATATAAAATGGTGAACTCATCCAGTCCCTGGCACACCACTGCCCTGTTCCTGTTGGCTTTTGTCATCTGTCTCCTGTCTCCATCTAAAGGCCTCAGCCTCCTGGTGCCTTGAGTTTAGGCAGAGGGG